GAAGCTTTTGCTTGTTTCAAAACTTTTGTGAATCTTATTTTAAATGAGTCCAAGAAAGGCATTAAGTCAATTCGAAGTGATAATGGGGTGAATTTATATCTGACCAATTTAGTGATCTATGTAATGATAGGGGAATAAATCACACCTTCTCTGCTCCTAGGACACCTCAACAAAAAAAGTGTTGTGGAAAGAAAGAATAGAATCATAATTGAAACAGCTAGAACAATACTTATGGAATATGGTTCTCCTAAATTTCTCTGGGGAGAAGCTATCATGACGGCTGTTTATACAATAAATAGAGTTCTGATCAGAAAAACGATAAATAAAACCCCCCTATGAAATTTTGAAACAGAAAACACCAAATTTGGGGTACTTTCATCCATTTGGGTGTAAATGTTTCATTATGAACACCAAAGACCATTTGTATAAGTTTGATGCTAAATCTGATCAGACTATATTTCTGCGATACTCTACTAAAGGTCAAGCCTACAGAGTATACAATCTCAGGTCTAAAAGAGTAGAGGAATCTGTATTTGTCAAATTTGATGAATCTATGTGTGCTGACATGTTTACTGTAGAAAGCATAGCTAGGCTTCATGTTTCCTGTTTCTAAGAAAGTACAAGATGCTCAGGAAGAAGAAACAGTCCCACTAAAGGAAACAAAAGAAGACAAAGAGGAGCCAAGTAGTCATGACGAAGAAAAGAGTGCACCTGGCTACATCCAAAAGAGACATTCTCCATCTCAAATCATTGGAGGTCTTCATGACAGAGGCACACCAGAGGTAAGTACAACCCAGGTCAGTATGCTTTCATCTCCTTACTAGAACCCAAGAACTACAAAGATGCCTTGACTGATGATGAATGGGTACATGCTATGCAAGAAAAATTACTTCAATTTGCTAGATTGCATGTTTGGGAATTAGTCCCCAGACCAATAGATAAACTGATAATTGGGACAAAATGGATTTTCAGAAACAAAACCGATGAAAATGGACAAGTAACTAAAAATAAAGCCAGATTAGTGGCTAAAGAATATTCTCCTGAAGAAGGAATTTATTTTGAAGAATCTTTTGCACCTGTTGCTCGCATTGAATCTATTAGACTACTTTGTGCATATGCAAGCTATATGAAAATTCCTCTATTTCAAATGGATGTAAAAAGTGCTTTCTTAAATGGAGAAATTAAGGAAGAAGTATCCGTTAGTCAACCACCAGGATTCATTGACCATCAGTTCCCTGATCATGTGTTTAAGTTGACTAAAGCGTTGTATGGATTAAAACAAGCCCTAAGGGCTTGGTTTGAAAAACTCTCTTCATTTTTTCTAAACAAGGGATTTACTCAAGGAAGTGTTGATAAAACCTTGTTTATTAAGAAAGAAAAATTAGATACACTAATTGTACAAATTTATGTTGACGACATAATGTTTGGAGCAACGAATCCATCTATGTGCAAAGAATTTTGTGAATCCATGAAATCTGTATTTGAAATGAGCATGATGGGAGAACTTTCCTACTTCCTAGGATTACAAATTAAACAAACAAGCTCAGGAATTTTCATATCTCAAATGAAGTATATTGATTCAATGCTTAAAAGATTTGATCTAAATTTTGTGAGCCCTAGTATAACAGCTATGGCCACCAATCTAAAATTAGACAAAGACGAATCTGGCTCACCTATATGTGAAAGAAAATACAGGGGCATGATAGGTTCTCTTCTTTACTTAACTGCTAGTAGGCTAGATATTCAATATAGTGCAGGGCTATGTGCTAGATTTCAATCTAAACCAAACGAAAGTCATTTCAAAGCTGTAAAACGAATTTTCAGATATCTCAAAGGGACTACAGAAGTTGGATTATGGTATCCAATCAATGACTCCTAATTAATTGGATAAACTGATTCAAACTTCGGAGGAAGTCTAGTTGATAGAAAGAGCACTTATAGAACTATACAGTTTCTTGGTCAAGCTCTTGTTTCTTGGTTTAGCAAGAAGCAAGGTGCAGTTGCTTTGTCCACTGCTGAAGCTGAATATATGGCTGCTGGAAGCTGCTCTGCTCAGCTCATGTGGATAAAATCTCAGTTATTAGACTATGGTTTTGAGTTAACAAACATTCTTGTATGTTGTGTCAACACAAGTGCAATCTGCATGACAAAAAACCCTATCCAATACTCAAGAATTAAACATATTGAGATAAAATACCATTTTATTCGTGATTTAGTTCAAACTGGAAATGTAAGTTTGGAATTTGTCTCGACTGAATGTCAATTATCCGATATACTCACTAAACCTCTTCCTAGCGAGTGCTTCCTACAATTATGTACTGAAATAGGTTTAAGATCTATTTGTCAGATCGAAAATCTAAAAAGGTAAATGACTCATTGGTCTCTATTTCTCTAGGGGTTGCTTGTCTTGGTTAATGCACTTTCTTTACTTTTCAGTTCATGCTTGCTAGTTTTCAAGATAAAAAATTTGCATGCTGAAATGATTATAGTGTCTCCGTCGTTACATCTTCTCTTCTCATCTCTGGTTAAGCTTCGTCTATTTAAAGAACCCCGTGTACAGCCTCTCTTCTCACCTCTCCACAACCCATCCTCTGTTTACCACACACATCATGAGTGATCATCTCCCTAAACCCTTCTGTTTTGATGGCCTTGTTCACACATTTCCTAGCTACATGTTTCATGAGCCAGTAGCCATCAACGATCATCGTCATCTCCGACACTTTGAAAATAGGAGACTCCACTACATCACTCAGTTAGATCCTTATGAATTTAAGATCTACAAGTTTGAGATCGTGTCTCTGATAGAAGGTCTGGGGTGGGATTATCTTCTGAGACAACCATTGCACCCTGCTTGTCCTGGTGCAGTCAAGTATTTCTACTCCAACCTCCGCTCTCAAGGTGTCAGCTCCAGGAGCTTCACCACTGTCGTGATTGGTCACCTTCTAACCATACATGTCGAAGCTCTTAATGCCATTATCGGGTTTCCATCAGAAGGGAAGGACATTGCTCATCCAACTAAATTCTGGAAGGAAGAATTCAACCTCGGTGTCGAGTATGGAAACTTTTCAACTGAACCAACTGGTGGTTCAGATGTTCCTATTCCCGTCGACTGGTTACCTCCTCGACTCAGAGTGTTTCACTACTTCCTAACCCATGTGTTCTTCCCTCGATCCTTCAACCTGGATCGTGTTCTCCCCATGGATCTCTGGATCATTGCTATTGCCACTACCAGGCGCAAGCTTGATTTTTCCAGTCTCCTCTTCAGCCATCTTCTTCCTGCTGGCGACGACAATTATCAGGGTATTCTCCCTTTTGGATCAATCATCACTCGTTTGCTTATCAATCTAGGGGTTGATCTCTCAAAGTTTAGAAGCGTGTCTTCTACAGTGTATGTGAGTGCTTTGATCTTTCTCATGATACTCAACCTTCCCACAGAGATTCCTCTTCCTCCTCCTCCCTCATCATCTATTCTTGGCCCTCGTCCCAAGCGGTCTTCTGTCAAGAAAGCCAAATATGCTGGAGAGACTAGCAAGTCTGGCGACCTGGTTTTCCCTATCTCTGAGGGAAGTTCCTCCTCAGATGACTCTGCAGCCTCTGTCCCTGCTTCTTAGACATGCTCTTCCGGGGGGGGGGGGGGATTTAGTTTTTTTAGGCTTCTGCAGTAGGGTATCTTTTGTACTCCTGTCCTTATGGACATGCTTTTTAAGGAGTCCTAGGTTAAGGTGGAACCACTTTTGTCAAACATGCTCTGTTCCAGAGTCATGGTTTGTTAAATCTCTACTGCTGTAATCCTGTTTTAGTTAATGCAAATTTCCTTCTTAACTGCCAGTACTGGTTTTCGCTGTTCTTGCCTTTTCATTTTATTGCAGGTAAGACTTCTCGGATGAAGGGGGAAATTGTTGAACGAACGGTGTCGGATTCACCAAAACGTTGTGTATTCACCAAACAGCAAAGTGCTGCCTAGCTACATTATACTACGTCGTTTTTGTCTCTCGTCCTTCTAAGTCTTCCAAACTGGATCGAGGCTCTTCTTCCCCAAATCTCCTCCATTCCTGCTCGACAGCTTCCTCGTGATTCATCAAATCTCGGTGACTCTACCAAGCCACCTCTACTTCGAGCTCATGATGACCAAGAAAAGACCGTTCCTCCCCATCTCCAATCAAGAATCCATCAGGTCTATGTAACGGTCACAAAGTTGAATTTCCTATAAATTCTAGGGTTTTTCCTTCGTTTAGACTTGGCAGTTTGTAGTAGAAGAATAGGAGAGTGTCTTCTGTTACATTGGGTCCGTTGTTTTGCTTCAGTAGAACAATCACAGTGTTTGAGAACTGGGTGATTTGTTCTTAGGAAGTTGATCGTGTGTCTGTTTCAAAGAGCCAATTCATTGGCTCGACTCTGGTTTTAGTTTCGTTGTATCTCTTTTTCTGTGATCAATAAAATTGCTTTTTTCTTAAAGGTTTCCCAGTTCTAAAATCTTACATTAGAATGAAAGTTTATTTCCTGTACGTAGAATCCAAGTATTCTTCCCATTCTGATTTCACATAAGATCCAACGTAACCAATCTCGGATTGGATTGGGTGGTAGGATGAAGAATATCACTACCATCAAACTAGCTAGCTAGTTGAGCCTTGTCACCCAAGAAACTAAACCAGCTCAAAAGTTGATAAAAGGTTTCGGTTGATCATTACTCTTTACAAAATCATCCAATTCCATAACATAACCGATCATATTTACATCAAACTTGGTCATTCATAAAAAATCTGTTGACTTCACTTTTTTCAATATTGAATCGTAAATGATTTCCCGTCACCTTTTCCCCCCTCATTTAAAAACACAACCCCAGCCGGCCGCTTCCTGATTGAGCAGGCTCTCGGCCGGCCCCAACCTCCATGGATATTCTGCAGCCCTCAAAATTCACCTCCAAATCCTTTATATTCATTACCTCACCATTACCATTACTCCATCTCGATTCACAAATCCATCCATCAAGCAATCATATCATGAGGCAGCCGGGGATTTACTCCGGGATCCTGTCGAGCGGGAGAAAGGAGCCGCACTCGCTGCCGTTGGCGAGGATAAAGAAGATCATGAAGAGATCCGGCGACGACGTCAAGATGATCTCGGGAGAGGCGCCCATCGTGTTCGCCAAGGCCTGCGAGCTCTTCATCGAAGAGCTCGCTCGCCGCTCATGGAACGTCGCCGTCCAGGGCAAGAGGAGGACGCTGCACAGGGAGGATGTGGCCTCTGCTGTGGCCGCCACCGAGGTTTTCGACTTCCTTGTAGGGTTGGTCGCTGATGATGACCATAATAACGGCGGCGGCGGCGGTAGCCGGAGTAACAGTGCCAACTCGTCGGCCGGAGGGGCCTTAAATTAATAGACTGTTGAGATGGATGTGTATGTCTAACTGGGCTTGGTCGTATATGGACTGACTTTGACTAGTAACTATATGCATATGGTCGTCACAAGGCTACAGTGCAATTAATTTGATTGTAATTTATTTTTTCTGACTCTAATCATATTTAGTTTCTTTTCTTTTTTATGTCCGGTAATTTTATGGTACCATGGGTAAATCTATATACTTTCAATCTTTATGGTCAATATTGTAAAATTATTTAAGCATTTCCGACAATATTCGGAATAAAGGATTTTTTTTCCTAAATACGGTGAAAATTAAAAAGAAAAATTCCTGCAATACACAATTTTTATAAAATTGTCCCAAAAGGTCAAAGTTTGGCGCAGGATCGGTTGTCAGATCATTGATCCATGTGCATCAAGTGGATGTGCCACGATTGGATTGTGTTGCAATTTGCAAATATATTTTTTACATGAATTCTAGAGGTGAAGTAATGGAATGACGGGTCAGGGTTTTTTTTTTTGGGATTTTTTCATAAATACGATTGTTTAAAAAAATTTACAAAAATACCATCTAATTCGAAAAAATTCCAAAAATACCACCACTGATTAAAAACCGCCACATGGGGAGGCAGTTTGTGGGAGAACCGCATGGTGAGGTGGCGATTTAAATTATTTGTACAAACCGCCCTTCCTGAAAGCGGTTTAGTGACTGACCTAGAACAAATCGCTTGTTGATGGAGTGGTTCTATGTCAACAATAGAAACTGCTCCTTCAACAGGCTGTTTATGTTGTCGACACATAAATCGCACCCCTTCCCCCCAGCGGTTTTCACCAGACATGCAACACCTTGTCTGCAACCCCCTGCATGCCGACATGTCGGCTATCGGGGCGGTTTCCACTTGACATTTTGCCTATAAAAGCCAGCCCCGAAAACCTTAGCACTTCACCATTTCTTGTCACGGACCAACTCTTGGCCGTGCGGCACTTAGCACTCAAGTCTCGTTAGAGCGCTAAGTCAACCTTGCTCGTATTCACTCAAACTCACAAGTGTTGGAGAAAACTCTATAGATGGAAATCTCTCTATTTCTAGATGAATGAAAAGTGGTGGAGAGGGTTGCTTATATAGGCATCCTCTCCACTAAGTACACTGTATATGGCCGTCATAAATGAACGAACCTAGATAGTCCCCCCATACATGAACTAGCCCCATACATGAATGTAATTAATAAAGGTGCATGAATAAAAGATAGAGAAGGGGGATGCATGTACATTGGTGCATGAATCGCAAGATGCATGCATGTACCTACATCCTTCTAGAATGCTCTAAAATCTTCCGCATAACATTCTCCCCCACTCAATCTCGCGACGCCCTCGTCGCGGACTCCGCATGAAATGCTTCGATCAAGTCTTTGTGACGCCATAGCAAAAGCTCCTTCTCCCATGTGATGTCGCTTTCTGGTCGCCCCTTCCACTTGACAAGATATTCCGCGTAGCTTGGATGACCACCACGCCTAGGCACAACACGATGAGCCAAGATCTCCTCCACTTCGTGCTCATGCGTTGTGGTGACGAGTGATGGTGCCCTCGTCGACTCCTTCCGCGCTCCATCTTCCTTGTCTTCATGATATGCCTTCAATTGACTCACATGGAAGACGGGGTGAATCTCCAAGTGCGATGGCAACTCAACTCTGTACGCCACCGTGGCAATCCGCTTCAAGATCGGATATGGCCCTTCATACCGTCGCAGCAGCCCCTTGTGCACATTTTTGAGGTGCTTGAATCGATGAGGGAATAACTTCACCATCACCAAGTCTCCCTCCTCGAATTCCAAGTGACACCGCTTCTTATCCGCCCACTTCTTCATCTTCTTCGTTGCTCGAGCGAGATACGACTTCGCCAACTCCATCTTCTCGTGCCACCCTCGTGCAAACTTGTAGGCAGATGGGCTATTGCCCTTGTATCCCGTCGTCACCGTATTAGGCGTTAAAGGCTGTTGGCCAGTCGCCAACTCGAACGGGCTCATGCTCGTGGCTTCACTTCGGTGTAAGTTGTAGGAGAATTGGGCTACATCCAATAGCTTCACCCAATCCTTCTGGTTGGCACTCACATAATGCCGCAAGTAGACCTCCACCAAAGCATTGACCCTCTCGGTTTGCCCATCCGTTTGAGGATGAAAGCTCGTGGAGAAGTTTAGATCGGAGCCCATCATCTTGAACAACTCCCTCCAAAACTTGTCGGTGAAGCGGCCATCTCTATCGCTGACGATGCTAACCGGGATGCCCCAATACTTCACAACATGCTTGAAAAACAAGCGGGTTGCATCCTCGGCCGTCATGTCTTTGGGCCCCGCGATGAAGACGCCATACTTCGAAAATCGATCGACGACGACCATGATGGAACCACACCCTTCGACTTTGGGAAGGCCGATGATGAAATTCATGCTAACGCTTTCCCAAGGCCGTTGTGGAGTGGGTAATGGCTCCAACAAGCCCGCCGGACTCCGCTGCTCCATCTTGTCTTGCTGGCAAACAAGACAAGTCTTGACGTAGAGTTCCACGTCGTCCTTCATACGAGGCCAATAGTAAGCCTCCTCGATGAGAGCTTGTGTGCGCTCAATGCCGGGATGACCAGCTCACTTGGAGTCGTGGCACTCCTTCATGATCTCCCTTCGTAGGTTGTCCCACCAAGGCACGAACACTCGCTCGCCCTTAGTCACGATGAGTCCGCCTTTCATCCAAAACCGCCGAGTCTTCCCTTGCTTGATGTACTCGACCACGGTTTTGGCGAAGGCGTCGTGCCCAAGGCCTTCTTCAATCCGTTCCTTCAAGGGGAATTGCGGCTGGCTGATGGCGGCAAGTGTGCTCTTTCGGCTAAGAGCATCGGCAACAAAGTTGGCTTTCCCCGGCTTGTACTCCAGCACAAAGTCGAACTCCGCGAGGAAATCTTGCCACCTTGCTTGCTTGGGCGTGAGCTTCTTCTGGGCGAGGAAGTAACTCGTCGCCACATTGTCCGTCTTTACAACGAACTTCGACCCAAGCAAGTAATGCCTCCACGTTCTCAAACAATGGACCACCGCTGTCATCTCCTTCTCTTGCACCGCATATCTTCTCTCGGCCTCGTTGAGCTTGCGGCTCTCAAAAGCAATTGGGTGCCCCTCTTGCATCAACACTCCACCAAAATCAGAGGCCTCCGTTTGCACTTCATACGCCTTGGTTGGATCGGGAAGTGCTAGCACCGGCTCCTTCGTCACCGCATCCTTCAAGGCTTCAAATGCTTCGCGGCACCGATCCGACCATTCCCAAGCCTTGTTCTTCTTTAGAAGATCCGTCAAGGGTGCTGCAAGAGCGGAGTATCCCTTGATGAATCTCCTATAATAGTTGGCCAGACCGAGGAATGATCGCAACTCGGTGACCCTCGTCGGTGGCTCCCATCCTTGTATCACCTCCACCTTGGCTTCGTCCATCTTTAGCTTGCCTCCGCCAATGATGTGGCCGAGGAAAGGAACCTCCGCTGCTGCAAACGTGCACTTCTCCTTCTTGACGTAGAGCTCATTGTCTCGAAGGACTTGAAACACTTGTCGCAAGTGCTCGGCATGCTCATCGAGTGTGTTGCTGTACACCACGATGTCATCCAAATACACCACCACGAAGCGATCCAAGAACAGCTCAAAAACTTGGTTCATCAAGGTGCAAAAAGTAGCAGGAGCGTTGGTTAGTCCAAAAGGCATAACAAGGAACTCGTATGAGCCATACCTCGTGACGCAAGCGGTCTTTGCCTCGTCCCCCTCGGCGATCCTCACTTAGTAGTACCCCGAGCGAAGATCAATCTTCGTGAACCACTTTGCTTCTCCGAGTTGATCAAACAAGTCGCCAATATTGGGGATTGGCCACTTTTTCTTCACCGTGAGCTTGTTAATAGCTCGATAATCGATGCACATCCGCAACGAACCATCTTTCTTCTTCTGGAACAAAACGGGTGCTCCATAGGGGGATTTCGATGGTTGGATGAAGCCAGCATCCATCAACTCCTTGAGTTGCTTCCTCAATTCCTCCAACTCGGGAGGGGCCATGCGATAAGGTGCTCTTGCTGGTGGCGTCGCCCCTTGCTCAAGCTCGATCTTGTGATCGACTTTTCTTCTTGGCGGGAGCTTCTTTGGTAGTTCCTTTGGCATCACATCCACGAACTCCTCCAACACGCCCTCGATGAGAGGCGTTGGCGCCACCGAGCCTCCTTCTTCCTTTGCTCGCAAAGTGACAAGGAACGTGGGTTCCATCCTCTTCATTCCCTTCACCAATTGCATGGCCGATAAAGCTCTCTTCGGCCCTTCTTCGCGCAACATCTTCACCGCGCAAAATTTGTCTCGTTTGTCAAGGCAGAGAGTGTTGGAATTCATTGCCATCACCGCGCCCTCCTTCTCCATGAAATTGACGCCAAGAATGACCGGATAATCATCCATAGTGATGACGCTGAAGTCGGCAACACCTTACCATCCTTCAATCTTCAATGGCACGGTCTTAGCAACGCCATGGATGGGTATTGCCTCCGAGTTGACGGTCTTAAGCGATCCTTGCCTCTTCTCGTAAGCGATCCCCAAGCGCTCCGCCTCCTCCACTCTAAGGAAGTTGTCGGTCGCACCGGTGTCAACCAATGCTTTCGACTCGCCTCCCCCGATTTGGGTGATTACAAAGGATCTCCCCTTGTTAACTTCGTTGGCCCCGGTCTTCGCCGCGCCTATTCTTCTTTTAAGTTTCTGTTTTGCGATTTGTGTTTTCAGTTTTAGCGATTAATGTTACTTTGTAAGTTTGTTTTGTATTACTTTTTATTGTAAGTTTGTTTTGTGATTAACGCTAACAAATTTTATGATATTAATTTAGTTACTATTTTATTGAAGATGACATTCCAAAAGTTCACGCTTGGGTTACGGTAGAATGTTTATACGAAAGAGACCAAAAAGGGGGTACGTTACGTCATTGGTAATTTTCATAAAGTGAAAGTCGCAACGAGACCGAATCTTGAACAGGTCCGTCAAATGTGTACTGAGGTTACTTGCATGGATGGCACGAGAAGAGTTGATTGTATAGTGTATCGATATCCAAACAGACAAGGCGAGTCGTTGTGGCATGAGGAATTCCTCATAACCACTCAGATGGACGTTGATGCCATGGTCGAATTTTTGATCGGCTATAACATTTCCTAAGCAGAGATGTTTGTTTCCACCGAGGCGGTCGAAGGCGGTGGAGGTCATTGTAAATCTTTTGTAATAATTACGATTTTATGTAACACTTCTGCCGGTATATTTCCCGAACTATTTTGTCAATTATTTAATTTTAAATTAATTCTTAAATGAATGAATAAAAACAAATAATATACTTAATTTCATACCGCCGCAAAGCGCGGGTAAAATATCTAGTATGAATAAAATGAGCTGTCATGCGATTGCAGAAACAGGAAAAAATCAGTGTAAAAAATAAAGAGTTGTCAGAAGTGGGATTTGAACCCACGCCCTCTTTCGAAGACCAGAACTTGAGTCTGGCGCCTTAGACCACTCGGCCATCCTGACTTTGATGGGTAATTACTGATAAGTATCTTATTATACTATAAAGATCGTTTTTTCTTTGGTATATATGGTTCAACTTTGGCCCAGTTATTTCGGACCTCAATCTACATTTGTCACTTAGCTTGCGTACTTGGCCATTTGGTTATGTTTGGGTTATAATTTAGTCGACAAATAGGAAAGGGATATTAAATGTTAGGATATGATAATCATTTAATCATTCTTATGATTATGGGATTAGCATAGGATCACTTTGTACTATATGTAGAAAGTTAGGGATTATATTTTGTACTTTGTATTCCCCAAATTTGGCTACCTTCATCTCCAAATGCTACCATCTTTAAATTTGGGGACCTCCCTTTTTCAAAATTTTTACTTAAAAATGTACTTATGATCATCTTAATATAATTTGGTCACGATAATTAATAATTTTTGCATAGTTCGTCATCATTTTTAAATACAAATTTTCTGATAGCATTTTTTGTAAATTTTGAGACCGAATATTTTTTGGCAAAAAATTATTGACCTAATTTTTTTTACACACGACACTTGAAATGATTGATCTAATTAATCAACTAATTAAAATCCAATTAATCTCTAAAATCTTAAAAAGAAAAAGAAAGTCAGGTGGCGAGCTAGCAGTTGTCTGTCCCACCAACACATCCCTCCCCATTTTCCGGGGAATCCCCATTCCCATCCCCAACTTTGGGGCACCCCATAAATGGCGCTCCCATTGGAGTAAGCGTTAATTAGTATAGGTATTAGAACTTAACTAGTCAAGTTGAGTTGTTAGGAAATACACTCTTTATTCTCTTTTTTCATTCTGATCATCCAAATTACTGTAATTACTTTCAATCAACCAATATATTTCTCTCTCTATCAACGATCGATTCATCCAACATGGCATCAGAGCTACTTGATGTGTTGTTGGATCAGTATGTGATGCATAAGTTGTATGTTTGATGACGATAGATATGAGATTGCACGAGCACATATATAAGCTCATTCCACCTTATTTCCAGTAGTCTCTCTGTGAATATTTCTCGTATCCACTATGTAACCTGATCACGGATGTATTTCTTCGTTAATTAAATCCAAAAATATCATATACCCATATTAGTCACTTGGATAGAGATATTGTTAGCCTAATTAATTAACATGTCTTAACACCTAACTAACATATTGTGATTCTTCTTTATGTCAAACGAGTCCAATAGCTTATTCACTTAGACCGCGATATTCTTGACCAAATTAATTTACAATTCTTAACACCAAACTAAGTGCCTCCTGATAAAACAATAATTTCACAGTAATCTATTCAACTTGTAATGTCAAATAGGTTTGCTTCTACTTCAACTAAATCATATTATAAAATAGGCTCGATAACACAAACAATCCAATTATCACCCCATGCAAACATGTTCGTTAGATGCAGTCCTTGTGAACTCGGCCACAAACTACAAATCCAACTCCCTTACTATTCGCCCTGCACATTGATTAGATCCAACCCTTTTGAAAACTCGAACCCAAGCCGCAAATCCAACTCTCAACTTGCCCATAAATTTAATATCCAACTTGACATTTGTTGGGGGTGTTACAAAGAGAGGCCCAGGTGAAAGCCCAAATACGGCCCAACGAGGAAGAGGAGGGTTACTCTAAGGGGCAAGCTCACGGGTTGGCCCGCAAGGTCAAACCCAAGTATGATGAGGGAAGCTAGGAGACAAGACTCGGAAGAATCCAAGGGAGTACGGTCTGGGCGCCTTGCATCTGTCAGAAGCCTGACATGTTGGTTGGAGCGCCCGGTCTGACAGAAGTACGGAGCATTAAAAGCGATGCTGACGTGGAGCTGGGTGGAATTAACCCAGTCCAGGGTTGGGTGAGTATAAATAGGGTCGGTAGATAGCATTTACGCAGGTTGGACTCTCTCACTAAAACCTATAGTTTCATACTTCTCTCTCTATAATTGGAACTAACTTGAGCGTCAGGGGATTAATGGGCCTAGGCACCCCCTCAGTGCGTGTGTGTAGGCCAGACACCTAAGGATTGGCTAGAAGGACTAAGGCGCACCGAGGAGCGGGCTTCAAGGCGAGGCGCCTACAGAGCGTTAAGCAGGACTCGGGTGATCAGAAGATCAGACTCCAAGGTGAGGAGCCTAAGGTATGACCAGTAACGCGAAGGTATTTGAGCACAAACAATTGGCGCGCCAGGAAGGGGTCTCGAATAAGAAAGAAAGACATGTCCCATTATCTGAGGAGGAAGCCAAGCGTCAAGATTTTGGAAGTGTGAATTTACGTGTGTTGTTAGGCGCCTCTTGAGATAGAAACTCCCAAGTGAAAGTGTGCTTTGGGCGGATGAGGAAGAAAAGGAATCCCTACAAGTTGAAGAGGAGGCTTGCGAGATGAATTCTTTCTTAGCACAATTTCATCAAATAATGGAGCCTTAGCTATTAAGTCCATGCATGGGTGGTCAACTTGAAGGCAAAATAAAAGCGCCAAAGGTTGGAATTCTACCTAGTATTTCAACAAATACAAATCAAGTCGCGACTCCCATGTACTACAAATACAAGGGTAAGAGGTGGGTGCCTTATTTTACAAGAAATGCCTCTAGTATGTGAAACCGAAAGCATAAACTGCGTGGGATAAGCCCACCTATGCGCCTTCTACAACAACAACAACCACAATTTGCCAAGGAGACTTATACATGGAGCCTCAATACCACAAGTCAAGCGCCTACATCACCTGAGTTCAATCTTGGACTTGAAAATTCCTAGCAGGCGCCCCTACCTTGTAGGAAGCATCAACTTGGGCTTCACCACACTCAAAACAAAGCTAAATTTGAAAGGCACTTTAAGGAAAATTGGAAAGAGGGAGGCGTTACGCCACTAGTCGGCATCAGCAACGGATCTAGGGGGCCGCCCCCGGGCCACGGCCCAGCCCTCCTCTGGATCCACAACTAGTATAGTACGTGTAAATTTTGTATTTTAGGTATTTTTTCGGTGTGTTTTTGGGTTTTGTCAGGTTATGGCCCAGCCCTCTCCACCTCTTTTCAAATACGGCCCAGTGCTCTACCCTGTCATAGATCCACCGCTGGTTGGCATCGCCAAGTTGGAGGCGTAGAAGGCAGGGGCAAGAAGAAGACGAACAGATGAGGCACCCATTGGAGATGAGAAAATAAAAAAAGAAGCTACGAGGCATCTGATTGCCATCGAATAATTTTATTGTATAGTTGGGCGAGAAGAACCAAGGAGGAAGAGTGGTGGTGACGCTTGAGAAAACTCAAATGTGAGAGGAAGAGGAAGCGCATGGCACAAAATAAAGAAGGAAAAAGAGGCGCTTTCAAAATTAAGAAAGAGAAGGCTTTGTGACACGACTGGTTGGCGTCGCAAAGCTAGAGGCGCAATAGAGGGACATTTAGAAAGAAGGAAAAAGAGGCACGGAGTCCATCTGCTCGACACAAGAAGCACTATATTCTCGCATCATGAAGGCACCTCTTGTTAAAATCGCAAGAACAGGCTTCAACAACAAGGCGAGGGTGTCTATTTTTAAGTTAATGCGGCAGCAAGCACTTATACATACAAGTGCTCAAGGTCAACATGGGCTCTACTATGCTCAAATCAAGCTAAACGCCAACACTCTAACCCAACATTGGCTTCAACATTGAATCAGGCGCCAATACTAGTGGACTACTATGAAATTCTCATTTCACCGGAGGCACCTATAATTAAAAGAGCATTTCAAGTTAGGCTAACGTCTGGGCACCCATCTCCTATTTGGGCTCGATGCCTCCCTGTCTGGTTTAAAAGAAGCCTTAAGCGCCTAATTTCATTAAGGTGCCCATTTCATCTATGAGCCAGATGTCTTCTCCTATTTTTATCTTGAAATTTTGGAGCAAGTTTAAAGCCCAAAACAAGGAGGCTCGTTAAGCCCAGGCGCTCAGTTCGAGCCCCAAGAGAGGTTGACACGACTTATTAAATCCAGACGCTCAGTTTAAAACAGAAGGATAATAAAATGCATGTGCCAAGCTTTTCACCTCATACCTTCTAAAGAAGAAGGGTGCCTCCGCCATCAGGCTAAGTTACAAGTTGTTGTCATCTATTCGCATGCGTCATTATTTCACCTAGGAGCCTCGCAAGCCCTCAAATTCAAGGATAACAAGGAGACTCGTTAAGCCCAGGTGCTCAGTTTAAAACAGAAGGCTAATAAAATGCATGCGCCAAGCTTCGAACCTACTACCTTCCGAAGAAGAAGGACGCCTCCACCATCATACTAAGTCACAAGTTGTTGTAATCTATGGGCTTGCGCAATTATTTAACCTATGCGCCCCGCAACGCACAACCACCGAGCTACAACTCCATTTGACCATAATGTTGAACGTGCAGTCATGTTTTGTTGTTCACCCTTGGGTATCAAGTTCAGCGCTCCAACAACAAAGTCAAGCGCCTTTATCTCTAGATTGCAACTCTAAACTTAGGATTTGATAGCAAGCGTTAGCATGGGCTTCGCCACGGTTGGCATAAGCTTCAACACACTCAAACCAAGATAAGTACTTTGTTTTTTCGTGAAATTTGGTGTTACCTCCACGATATATCGCTTTGTTTTGAAATGTTTGGTGCGCTCAAATAAAATCTTTTGTTCGAAATACTTAAAGCGCCCGAAATATAGCGCCCTTGATTGGAAATACTCTCCACGCCCAAATCTAGCGTCCTAATATTTGAAAGAACTCTAAGGGAGATGTAAAACGCCCATAATACATAAAGTGCCCCGCAATACCTAAAGCGCTCGAAATACTCAAAGCGCCCGGAATATCAAAAGTTGTCGAGATAGAATGTTACGTGGCATTCCAAGCCTCAAGTTTACACAATTGAAGGGGGCCATTTTATAGCCGCCTGTTTCGAAAGTAAGGATGTTGGGTCGTGTGTCTTGCAAAAGGAGGCGCCTGTCATGAACGAGTAACGTATGCAACGGTCAGGCGCATGTCACGAATGTGACGTTAAACGAGAG